AAAAAAAAAAAAAACATACAAAAAAAGAAGAAAACGAAGAAAAAGCCGGCATTCAAGAGTGGAACGCGCAAACACGTTTGCCTCGGTGGGTGCCATGTTGGTTATTGGTCAACTAGCAGAGAACCTCCTCAACAACCAGGCATAAAACTTTGTAACAGGTTTCCACCACTGCTGAAGGACCCTGGATCTCCACCAGATGACCTGGATAACTTCTCATCCTCACAAAGCAGGGTAAGGAGTGAGAGTAATTCATAAATACTATTGTCCAAAAGATACCATCTCTGGAATGAGAGAAAAATTTCCAAAAAATATATCTAAACACCAGACTGTAAAAAATCATCTCAGTGCACGTGGGGTGAGTGAAATTGTGAAACAACAATCAGAAGTTCTGAGGCAAGGCTTTACTGATCTACTGAACACGCTCCTCTCCTTGAAAACTGAGGTGTTTATCAGTGGCCCGCTAGTGTAGCAGACATGTTTTTGGGGCAGATCGAATTTGCTTTAACAAGTCAGGAGTGAATCTATGTATCTCAAACCTTCTGTACATCCTATGTCATTCATCTGTTCCCCCTGCCAAGGACAAGAGGAGTCAAAACACCAAGAAGTCACAACACATCAGCAACCACCAAGGAGAGCCACCTGAAGAGAATTTAAGAATTGAGGGACATCAGGGTCCAGATACAGACTGTGTTCCTTGCCTCTGTAAAGCACTTTGAATTGCCTCCCTGTATGAAATGTGCTACATAAAAAAGTTGCCCTGCCGTGAAGCTGGGGTGTATAGGCTAAATAAAGCTTGTCTTGACAGTTATTACTGATTATAAATGCATGAATTTATTATCCCATATCACATCTATCAGTGTATATTAAAACACTGTGTGCTTCAGGGTGAGCTCAGTTAAATGACCACAGAGAAACACAAATTACCACTTTATCCACTTTTACTTCACCACAGAACTTGATAGTGTTTACTATCTTATACACCAAGTATAATCTGCTGTATTTGTTTAAGTTTTCCAAATTCAGAAGATTATACTTATTTAAGATTTTGAGGCTTATCTAAAGCTGTTAATGTTTGCTTATACAATAATACAGTGGGTGTCAGTGTGATTTTACTGATCTGTCTACAAGGTTGTTAAATGGTATGAAATATGTGAAAGAATCATTGCATTCATGGAAACATTTAGTTGGAAGTGTTTTCACCTCAGAGTTGCCAGCAGCAGCCCTGGTACTGATCTACCTGCTGAGATCTGTCAGAACAACAACCTATGGTCAGTGATGCTAGATCCCCCCCAAGAGAGTCAGATTAAGTTGAACTCGCTTCGTGGTACAGGTCTCTGGTATGAAGGTGTGCAGACACACAGAAGAAGTGACTGATCAATCTGTACTTGGGTTATGTTGGGAAAATGCTTTGTTATGGCTTGTTCAAATGCTCCAAAAGGTGTTATACATCTACAGGTGCTCAGGAAGAACAACATCTCCCAGAGACTGCTGGTGTCCGCTGCTCCAATGAGAGCATCCTTACATACTGTATATGTGTATGGCACAGCAGCAGCACAGTGGCTCAGAGGAAAACACTCCAGAAGGTCATTAATACAGCCCAGGAGGTCGTCGGCGGCCCTCTGCTCACTCTGGAAGAACTACACAGTTCCCACTGCTTCAAAAAAAGCCCAGAATATCATTAAGGACACTTCACACCCAGGACGTCCACTCTTTGAACTGCTGCCGTGAGGTAGATGGTTCAGAGCAATCAAATCAAGGACCACTAGATTCTGGAATAGTTTTTATCCAACAGCAGTTACCACACTCAATGCTGCTAAAATATAATATGCCTGTGAGTGAGAGGGGGCATGTGAGAGGGCTGCTGTTTATTTAGTGGCTATGTTTTTATATGGTTTTATTTCATAAGTTATGTTTTTTTCCTATTGCTGCACCGACCAGAGGCCACTCTAAAATGTCATTGTTTGTGTTACATGACAATAGAGGATTATCTTATCTTATTTGTACATGAAGGTGTTTTGGTGTAGAGCAGATGATGTACTTGTGCTTGAGCTGCTTCACATGGTTCTCACACATAACAGACCACGAGTATGCAGAAGAGTTGGCGACTGCACCCAGCTCTGCCTGGCAGACAGAGACTGATTGACAGAGCTGGAACTCCTGACACTAGCAGGAACTGCCCATAGTACCAACTTGACTGTCCAAATAGCTCAGACCCCCTCTCGGAGCATTGTGTTCATGCAGCTGAACTGTATGTATTGAAGAATGCTCCTTTGCTGCAAGTATTAAAATCCTTACATAAAGTGAATCGGCCTTGGTCCATTCAGTCCGTTTGTTTATGGTAGAATAACCCCAACAGGTTAATGATTCGTTATTTTTCTGGTTTAATGATTTGACACTTTGCTCTGTCTCAGTCCAAGGGTTGTCTATATATCCAAAGACATTAACCTCGGCTTTTCTTTAACATTTGTCAAGGCGTTTAAAACTATAACATTTTATACGCAATCATAATCCGCAGACTGATCGATAATGAAAGCTGTCCTGAGCTCCATCACAGTTTGCTCAACAGGTAAAGGTCTGTTGGTTTTACAGCTGCTACAACTGATGCATGGTCCGGATGCCCTTCCTGACGCAGCCCTCTCTATTTAACCGGGCTTGGGACCGGCACAGAAGTCACTGGCTTGCAACCCCTGAGCTAGATTACCAGACTCCATAGTGTAAAAGCTGAATTTTAGAGCTGCGGTGACTGGAGTCTTTAACTTCCTGACCCGAAAGCTGCTGCTGCTTCTTTGAAAACTCTGAATCACCTTCAGTTAGCTAGACTGACACGGAACTGACGCCCCACCGTCGCACGGTCAAAACACCCGATTGTTGATCCGCGACAAGACATTTGTCACTCCGCCTCAGGTTATTCCCGACCAGAACCGTCCGTAAACACACCGACCACTGTGAGACAACAAACCAGCACTCGATGCCACAAATGAACAACGAGAAAAGCATGAAAACAGTCAGACTCACCGTATCCGAGAACAGCACCCAGGAAGTGTAGTCGCACGGCGTCTTCTCGCCTACTCGTTTTGTCTGAGGCTCCGCCCCATGGGTTCACCTGTTAAGAGTAACAGGAAACCCGTCACACATGTTGTTTAGAAGTCACACAAAAACAGTAGCACAAACAAAACACGCCTAGTAAAAACAGAAACAGCACAAGAGAGAACAACCAGGGGCCTATTTCAAGAAGGCGGTTTTGTCAAAACTCAGAGTTTGTTAACCCCGAAATGAGGGCAACTCGGAGTTTTCGGTTCCAGAAACGGAGGTAACTTAAACCCGTGAAGCGGGGTAAGTTAAACCCGTTTCACAAAGAGAGGTAATCTAAACTCAGAGTCAGTTACTATGGCAACTTACTCTGTGAACCTAACCTGCTGGGGAGCAGGTTTTGTTCGGGAAACTCAGAGTTTCCTCCGGGTCTCCGCCCCTTTTTAAAGTGAAAGGTGTTTAATACCTCATTTAATCTTTCAGTACATTCATAGATTGCACACGTTTCCGTCACGCAGAGACCAAAATGGCGTGTCCATTCATAGAGGATCCTGTAGATGAGGACGCTGTATTAATTCGCAGGGAATTGCATTTACGTCGGGAGAGGATATTGAGGCCACGAGTTGATTTTTTTTTTTGTCATATCCCCATGTATTTTTATTTGAGCGGTACCGTTTTTCTAGAGAGTCCATAACATATATCAATAATCTTATCCACCCATACATCAGACACATCACCCATCGTGGCCGTGCGCTTACATCCGAGCAGATGCTTTGTGTTGCATTACGATTTGTTGCAAACGGTAGTTGTCTTTATAACATCGGGGATGCAGAGCACATTAGTAAGGCCACAGTATGTAGAATAGTTCGGAAAGTGGGCCTCACCCTCAAGCGCTTTCTGTGAATTTTTGTTGTGTTTCCTGGGCACAAACCCCTCAGAGCCATTAAAGAGGAGTTTCACAGGATTGCAGGTTAGTGGTATTGAATTCGTTTCAGTAAGGCTAATCTGACAAATGATGATCAGTTAATAACATCTTGCTGTGACCTCTGGAAATAAACTAATAATTAGAATCCCCTTCAGGATTTCCTAATGCGGTTGGATGCATTGATGGCACACATATTCCCATCAATGCACCTACATGAAAATTAAAATTCAATTCTTATATTATTACATCAGTGTTGGGTCAATTTTAAAAAAGTATTTTGATTAATGTAATAATTACTCTCCATAAAACGTACTGGATTATTTATTAATCATTACTTTACAAATCCCATATCAACCACAATAGGAATTTTAAGAAAGGGTAGACATAAAACTGCACTTTTAATTCGTACAAAAATCGGTATTTTATGCAATTACTGAAGTTACTCATTCAATTATTGAAGAATTAAGAACCATTCCTTACTTTACAAGTGACAAATAATAACATTACTAACATTATTTAGTAATTACTTACACCGAACACTGTATGATTAAAATGTAAACGTACCCATTGACTCGGGCAGCTATTTTCCCCCAAGCTAACTCTTTCTCTTTCGCCGCTGCAGCCGTGTTGTTG